AGTGGTCAATTCTCAATCAATACTATATTTCCGAAAAACTCGTCGGTAACTGACAAACAGACAACCAAGTGAGGCTATAATGACTCCTTTTTTTTCCCTTGAGGTACAGAACCCAGTACCGAATTAACACAGAGCGAGGCCCGTAGCAATTGCCCCCTTCCCCAACCCCCGGTAACAAACAGAAAAGTTACCCTTTGCTTTCTGAACAACACAACATCGACAAATTTGTAACTTTAGTTTTATTTGTCAGTCAGTTTATGTTCAAACTTAAATATATGACTAGTCAGAAACGTGGCTTATTTCATTTCTTGCATTATTTGACACTGACTTCAAAAATTAATTAATTATTTTTGAACCATACCGAGGCTCCTAAATGCGCGGGGCTCTCAAACGCGCGGAGCCCGTAGCATTTGATACTTTCGCTACGTGACTAATCCGGCTCTGACAGAACCCTTAAAGTACATATAGTCTAGCATAGAAGATATCTTTCTACTTTGTTAAAAAAGTTGAATATCGATGGTTTCAGTGATACCAAACACGTACACTCGTATTAATTGTCGCGAGAAATAATTACTTGAAAAAATGTTATAACTGAAGCAAATATCTTTAACCAGTAGACGAGAATTTGAATCAACTAAGAATTGCCAATGATAATTCATACTAGTACTTTAACTTGAGCGAGTTCTTACTTCGTTCAAATTCTTGTTTATTATAATTTTATCACACAAAGTTTAGGCAGACCTTGAAGCAAAATTTTAAATAATTCTACATTCAATATCATTTATTTAGTATATGTTGTTACAAGCACTTATGTCAGTGTCACAAGCTTATTCGCAGATCTACGGCGGGAAACCTTGTACTGAGGAGAACCGGCGAAGCGGAACCCTACTCAAGGTTACATCGAAGCCAAATATTATTTTGTGAATAATATTATCTTTGTTTTCTTAGTTAATTAAAATAAATTAAGGAAAAAATCTGCACAAAAACTTTAAATTATATCGTTTACTTTCGATGCATAAGTTTCAAAACTTTCAGCTCCATAGAAACGAAAACTTTTTGTTGCTCGAAGTAAAGTACAAGTTTGCACAGCAATCATACGCTGGTTAGACAAACTTTCTCTGTGAATTTTGCGCTGAACCCGTTCTTATGTCAACAACATAGCAACTCATGTGGGAACTTTACCTCTTATCCTTTTGTTTGTGTCATTTTTCAAAACAGTGACATCTGTTGTTAAGATTGTCAATCTATATATTATATGGAGTAGCAACGAGACCATATAAAATGTTTCATGATGTATTTACGTAAGATAATTTTACTCTGTTATCTCTTATTATTTTATTATTATAAATTGACATTTTGCACGTCTCTTGCAGACTAAATACGTTGATTGCCATTTAAATACTTTAACAACTTATGTAGTGTGCATTTATGCAAATAAAAAAATCGATTATATTAAAGAGTACTTTTAATAAGATAATTTGTATAAATATTTTAACTTTGTGATCTCACTTAATAACTATCAAGACCACCTCTTTGGCCCTCATAAGTAAAACTAAACATGCTTTAATGGGTTTTTATAAAAAGGGGGATGGAGGCACCTGAATGCTACGTAATAAATCACAGAATTATTGATTATATAATAAATGGATAGGTGATAAATGCCTAACTCGGAACTAGGCGTTTGGTTGAATCATATCTAACCAATGAGGTCAGTTGGCAGGATATATTTACTATGTCTAGACTCTTTAAATTAATGCTAAGACTTTTATTTGTTTTACAAAATCCCCCATAAACTTCCAAATCAGAAGATTCGAGAATAACCATTATTAATGGCCTTTCTCATCTGCGGGCAGGATCTCAAATTAATCAATGTACGACGGAAGCTATGGAGCACGCTCTTCGTGTCGCCATTAATTTCAATCAGTCTGGCGAGAAAATAGGATGTTAATTTTTTAATAAAACATCTGTATCTATAATGGATTGATAATTTTCATTCATCTTTTAATCATCTACCTTAAAAAGTACTAAGGTAAGGTAAGTTGATTATTATTTAAGGATGATCGAACGGATGTTGTTTAAATATAAATAACTACCCAAATCTAGAACTTACAAAAAAATAGTTTTTATTTTCAATCAATATTTATTTGAATTCCACTTCCGATATTTTATTTCCTATTTATAGAAAAGAATAGAATAGGTTTGAATTTGGCAACACACATCACATGCACAATTTATATACAGTTTATAAATATGACAGAAAAATATCCTAAATTACATTTCAAAACAATTTTTCTTTCTAAAATACGACTTTGCTAGATAATAATAATTTAATTTATTACATTTAAAATAGTACACAATCATTCTAAATACTTATTTTCATAAAATCCATTTTACGTTTATATTTTCTTAAGCAAAGTTAAAAAGTCCACAATACTAACTTTAACCGAAGTAAGTCTGATGACCATTAGGGCGCTTGTGCACTACACTGAATTTTCATGTCCGGCGGTCCGATTTTTTCAGGTCCGATATGTCAGGCCATATGTAGGTAATGCGCGCTTGTGCACTGTCAGGAATTTTACCGTCCGGAATTTTACTTTTCTCTATTCCGGACCGGTTTTTTCAGGTCCGTGATGGCGGCAATGAAAAACGTGTTTACGCTTGTGCACTGCTGCGTCCGAGATCCGGAAAATTCATAAGGAATAGGCTTGGGAAAAAATAATCGATTTGAATCGATATTTATTTCGGCAATATTGTTAATTTCCAATAAACTTAAATCGATATTAACTATTGATTATAAAATGCTATATTTTATATGATGATTTAATATAGTTGGTATATATCACTGCATATGCTTTGGCATATGCTCGGTATAGTTCTAATTTGATCAGCGTATGGTTCTAATATCGATACTTAGCTAGATTTTAGAATCGTATTAAAAGTATCGATAGCTTAAGGTAAGATAAATAAGTGTTGTTACGCTTAGACGCCTAAACAACTGAACTCATCTAAATGGAAATTAATATAGTAAATAGACTTAACTTTAAGAAAGGACATAGGCTACAATTTATCGCTAAAAATAGAGGATGAAAGTTTGCCTGGAAATTTGTCATTATCAGTTTTTTTAGACAATTGATAAATATAGATAAATATTTGACAACAGAAGTAATAATAAAGAATAAACAGAAGATTAACAAAAGTAATTAAGTGACACTCAATGTCTTCTTCGCATTTAATAAAATTTTAAATGTATGTTTGTGTCATTAATGAATTTAAAAAAAAAGTATTCTAAGGGAATAATATTTCTGCTCAAAGAAACTACACTACGCGCAAAAAATTATGCCTATATATAATATAGTCAACTGATCTCGTAAAGTTCATTTGGCATAATAATTCTCCGCTAACACGGCACTAATTTCGATTTGTTTACGAAATGGCGCCACCGATTGGTCTATCTCTGTAATCGCTGAAAGTTGTTTTTACAAAACTTCGAAAAAAAATAGCACGTTTAAAAATTTAAACATCAAGTACTAGACCATTATCAGAAATTTTATTCTAATGTCACAGATATTTTTAACTATTGTATGTGAATAATGCTGTTCCTAAATTAGTAAGGGTATAAGTTTTTACATCTGATAGTAGTCATCTGATAGAAGTAAAAAAAAATGCTTCATTCGTCTTGCCATAATTTATTATGATTTATGTAAAACGATCAGATCATTATTTAGGTACCTTTCTACGTCTTCGAACGGAATTACCGACATTCCAAAAATCTCATCGTACATAGCGTAAGTGACGTGTGGCGAGTTTCAAAGAGAGCTGCCCTACACTGCGACGCTCCGATCAGGAAAAAAACGGACAAGTGCACAAGCTACTCATCCGAGTTTTTCATGTCATTCCGGACCGGAAAAAATCGGACCGCCGGACCTGAAAATTCAGTGTAGTGCACAAGCGCCCTTAATCTTTGCTTGTTGCTATAACAACGGCGTCCCAGGATGCAGAAGCGACGACAGCGCCGCACGGCATTTCCTCTAACTACATCAAAGTTTGTGTTTGAGGTATTTCTCGATGTTAGTGTTAGATGGCGCTGTGATTCATCAAAATAAAGAAACTAAAGTGTTTTCAATATAAGTGCTAATTTTCATTTAATTCTTAATTATACGACATTTATACATAAACATAGAAGTTGATATAACGCATATTTATATTGATCCAAAATATAATATTATAATTTTTTGTTATTTAAATAAACAATATATTTAATTACTATGTTTTCTTCCCTTCTAGTATATATTTGTGACAGTCTTGTTTTACTTCTTATGGAGGCTCGCTTTATTTCAACACCAACGACCTACTTATCAAACTTTAATCCTTGGATATAAATCAACGTGTATTTTAAAATGGGCTCTCAAGATGGCGGATATAAGTATTCAGATTTATTACGGACGTAAAAAGTTTGCTACTTTCAAACTTTTATTTATGATTACGCGTCTGTCATCAGGGAAGTTTTTTAATGAATTATCCGGAGATGTCTTTAAACGGAAATAATAATCGTGCAGATCCATTACTTCTAGTTACGGTATAAAAGTAGGATTAAGTGAAGATCGGCCATCACTATCCTGGAAAGCAACCCTGCTGCTTGCCAGGCAGAACAGATCGCTCCACTTACGTATTACAATGTGTTGATAGTTTCATATTATTAATAATATCGTGTGTTACTCACTTGTTTCCTCTTCCAACATAAAATTTTTAGAGCTAAATGTGAACAATTCCTCCCTTTATTGGACTTTCTACGTCATCAAAATTGTAATATATATTAATATTCGTATGCGAATTCAAGACTTCGAATTCAATGCTGCGTTTTATTTAAGATTTGTTATACTGTTCCTTACCAACCTTAGCCGAGAGAAGTAATTACTGGAGTAATTATTACAATTTGTAATATAGTCTAAGATGCGTTAATATTATGAATGTAAATAACGTAGTATAATATTTTGTTGCAGTTGTTAAGCAGTGACTAAGACAAGATGGCGGCGTTTGTGGCAAAGCAAATGGTGGGCAACAAACTAAGCGCCGTTAAAGGTAATACTTACTTATAGTACGGGGTTAGCTTGTAACTGCTTCAGGAAATAATTGTACTATTTATTTTTATATTTTGCAACTGTTCGATAAACTGGTCTGCTATTGTGACGTTAAAGCGTATTCCCTTATACACAGGCATTGTATATATATTTATCTATTCTTTGGGAAACAACAGCATTGAGTTACACATAAAATACAATAAATTAATAAAGTTGCCTGGATAGTTTCCACTGCTAAACATGTGATACAGTTGTGTCGAGCAAACAATGAGTAGGTAATATAATAGACAACAACTTAGTTTTTAAAGACAGAGTATAACAGGACATGAGTATATTTCTAGTAATCTTAACATTACAAACATACACTGCGATCTGTAACTAAGTATAAATAGTTTAAAATATCTGAGAAAAAAATATAATTTCTTCGTTATCTCTTTTTCTATTTGATATAGTTTTAAATTGGAAATATCAACACGTGCGTAACTAGAATTAACGCTTATTGACATAATTAATCCGGCTCTAAGGAACGGAAAAAGTACCCCTTAAACGCAAGTTACCCCTTGGGCATTTTAATGTAATTTTGCTGATTAAATTAGGAGAATCGAAATGATTATTAAATGATTTTATATAATAATGCTAAATCCCTATACCCGACTTTGATTCATCTCTGTCCTTGTAAAATCCTTGAAACCTGTACTTCAACCTTCTAATAAATTTCTCTTATAGCTTTCATCTAAATTGAATACAGCGGGTTCCAGTATGTTGACGCTGATATTCTACCTGCTTATAACATAAGACATATACAATTAACTACATAAGTTTTTAAAGCTAAAGATTAATTTTATTATAAAATTGTATGTGTAGGTCAAATTGTGTATATTTGAGCTATGGTTAATGAGTTAACTTCATAAACTATCATTGTTTTAGTGTAACGACGCTGAATTAAAAAGGGGAATTAACATTCGCTGAATTTAGATTGTCTTCTTCTCAACACAAGTATATATATTAATTCACACAGACATGCTGCTTTTGTGGGAAATGTGCCAAACGAAAGAATGCCTAAACTATGATATACAATGCAAAAGTATATAGAAGATAAGGAAATTCAGGACATATAGATCAGATAAATAATATAGAGATCACAATACATTTATACGGCACCGCTTGTCATTTAAATTTGACCATTATATTATACTTATGTCTCTAGCTTTTGCACGCGACTTCGGTGGCGTGGTCTAGTTTTAAGGCTAGTAATTAGTAAATTACATAAAAACTTTTATCCCTAATTTACCCCCTTAGCGGTCGATCTAAAATCCAGTCTTAGTGAGCCCCTACGTCCTAAAAAGAACGCGCATGCAAAATTTGAAACTCCTAGCATTTGTAGTAACGAAGTTTCATACAAACTTTCATTCCATAATTCAGCTCCTTCAGGATGGAATTTTCAAAAATCCTCTCTTAGTGCTCCTCTACACTCCCTAAGGAATCTTTATTCCAAATTTCAACTATCTGCGTTCAGTAGTTTCGCCTGAAATTTCTGTCAGTCAATCAGTCATTCCGTTACGCAAAAATTTTATATATATATGGATATAACAAAAATTTTTAACGTCAATATAAAAAAAACGAATCTCATATGTTAACTTCTAGTTTTTAACATCGCGGACGACGAGCTGGCAGGTAGCGGTAGTCAAAACTCTTGAATTTACAGAGTGCTGCTGAACCGTCTAAATGTGCTATGACCTTTATACTACCAATTTACGTAAATCTACGACTGGAGAATTTATTCTGAAAAGAAATAGCAAAAAATCCGGCGAAGGTTTTTCATTCATAATTATCTAACGGTCGTTCCTTCTATTCCGTGCCTAAAAGATATTCAAATATCCGCGGCGCGTTGAATTAAATCCTGTCATTAATGTAGACTGACCCCAAAAGTAGAACGTTCCATTTCCCTTAAATGTAACAAAGTTAAACAGTAAGACTGTCGACACTCGTGACTCGTAGTTATTGAGCCAATCGACACGAGACTTACTGTGATAAATCCGTCTGAAAAGGAATCTCCTTGGAAAGACAATATTTTTTTTTTTGTGTTTTTAATAAGTATTTTTATGAAGGAAGTGTAACTGATCAAGGTATTATATTGGTCTTTTAAATGCTTTAAATTATTTAAAGAACAAATCATCACCAGCCCATTAATGTGCCCAACGGGGCATAGGATTTTCAACTAATGGAATCGATTGAAGCGGGCCCAGTGGGGATTGATGAGTGGAAATTATTGCAGATGTAGCCTGGACATATGGCTTGACGTGCCTTCCAAAGGTCGGAGGAGGTCAAAATAGTAAACTTTTCGTCACCCAACCTAAGTATCACCTTTCGAAAGATGCTTAACTTTGCATTGCAGACCGAACCCACTAACCACTGCGCCATCGACGCCAAGTTGAGCATTAGGACTTGTCAGTGTACAGAGTTTCGAATTGAAATAAAGATATATTATGATTCGCCAAGAGAATTATCTCTAAAAACTATGATATTCCTAACTGTCCGAACTTTTATCATGCCTAGGAAAGTTATATATTATCCTAAATATATGCTTCATTTGTGGGCCAGTTGGTGGACCACTGGTCCACAATCTCACAGGTGATGTTTGAATGGATGATGATCCCTTTAAAATATATAAGTATAAATATCAGTGTCACTTAATTTCATATGACATCGGTATTTGTTTAAAGAAAACCCATGCCAATGATTTGTATATCTGGGCCATCCACGTATTACATCTACAAGTTCCTGAACAGACAACATCACATACATTGCTCAAATCCCAAATTAAGTAGCTTTTATTACTTGTATTATGGAAAACCGAAATAAGTAAGGTACTGTAACACCCAAAGTCGAGACAATATGGACAATTACATTGACCTTACCGAGCATTAAACTAGGGATCAGAGAGATGACAGCACATTCAAACCTGAGTGTGAACTGACACGATATTTTGATTAAAATCAACTCCGCAATGCGATATGCGAAATCCAGTTACAATAAATAAACTTCAACGGCATGAAGTCGTCTATGCAAAGTGACTGCAATTCAATATTTTTAACAATAATTCTCATGTACATTGTATTGAAAATTAAAAAAATACTTTCATTCCTTCTTTTATTAATCGGATGTTTCTTGCGATCGATTATATTTAAAATTTCCTGACTTAAGATAAATACCTATTCAATCCTATAAAAATATTCACAGTCCAATCCCTGTAGAGTCAATTAAGTTTATTGGAGCAATTATCGAAGAGATCCCTCATCTACAATAAGTAAAAAAAAGTCATCCCTCAACCACCAATCCCTCCTTTTTGTCCCAATGAGCGTTTAGCCGCAGATTTCCCCCGGGCGCACAGTTACCCCCTGTGCACGACACGGATCATGCTACGTCTCGTTTAAGAATAATTTTATTTTTATTTAAAAATATCATTATGACCTTTAGTTACCTTTAGTTAGGATTGCATACTGTCTCGCACAGTTTACAATTGTTAATTAGTAGTTTCGGAGATTGAGTGAGTTTGTAGAACACTATTAAAATTTTTCTAACTTACACTCCAGAAGAGGTCGCCATGTTCCAAATCCATTTACCTATTGTAGGACTGTCTTTGGGTCACTCAATCATATACATATATATATTTCAACTCAATCGGTCCAGTTTCGAAGACATTTTAACAGACAGACAAACAACCGAGTGATCCGGTAAGGGTTCTGTTTTCCTTTTATTATAAAAATTAATTCATATTAATTTTCATTGACTATATCAAACTAAAACCAAAAGGTGATACATGTGCTGTTAGTTCTCTAAAATGTCAAAGAAAATCAATAAATTAATGCTAAGAGAATTATGAAAAATGATAAAAAAATCTCATCTATTTCCGTGTCAAATCAATTACATTAAGTGGAAATATAAAACGAATTTAAAATTGCTCTCACTTTATTTATTCTTTACTTTAGAATTTCCTAATCTTCCTTCAGTTATATTTAAATTTATTTTATTATACATTTGTACTGTTACTTACCGCTATATTATTATAAATAACTTATAATTAGATTTAAAAGTGAAAACCTTAGTAACTAACTACATTGATATCATAAACAAAATTTGAAGAATAGACTGAAAACAATAGAAATTTACAGTAAATAAACTTAGTAATAAAAGTGTAACGTACCTGTTTTATATCTCATAATGTTGATATACTACTTATATATATTTAAATAATCTGTGAAAGTGAAGTCTTACTTAAAATAAATTTTGTTAAGTTAAAGTTTGTTGAAATTTTTTTTACAAAAAATATATGAAATATAATATTATAATAGTATATTTGTACTGTTATTTTTCGTCTAATGCTTATCATTTTTCCAAATAAACGCAATTTATGCTTTTTTTTAAAGTAAACTTAACATATTATCTAAATAACTAAACAATGCAACAACCTGAAGGTTTCTTAAAAATATTGTATACGAATATATTTCTTATATTGTTTTTGAAATAGAATTATTATATAACTTAAGTTCAGCTACCAAACTCCATGAAATATTCCTTATTATGAAACAGACTGATCAAAACCTTCTTTCTCATTCCTTCACCGTCGCCATCTCTGTCACATTCGGTGATGTACACTTTCTTTATTTTCTCCGTTGAGTCATTCAAAAGCACGTGCTTTCTCTTTTTCGCCTTTCTGTTTTTTGGTGAGGAATTCTGGGTGCTTGTGCTAGTTTCTGAACTATTCTCATTCAATGGTGAATGAAATAATTTCTTGCTTATCGGGTACAAGTTAGGTTTTCTTACCGGAGAATCAGTTTCCATCTAAAAAAATAGGAAATGCGTGAGACACAATAGGTTTCAATATTATTTTTCCTCATTGATTTCTTATATTTTCACGGGCACTACCGATTAACGAAACAACTTTTAAACGGTTTCATCGCGTTTGTATTTAGTTTTATTTACCTTTCATATTATTAAGCTTCTTTGGTTATAGAGATAATAGTTCATAATTTCATCATTAGCAAAAAGAGTTCATTAATTGGTTATTATTAATTTAATAAAGGGTTCATGTTTGAATATACCAATTTGTTTCTACCTACCAACGGTGCTTAGTCTTTCGTTATCTATGAAACCACCGCGAGCCTCGACGTTTAAAGTTACTTATATCAATAACTGATGCGTCTAAAATAGTCTTCAAAATATATTACCATATCGCAATCCGATTTGAACTCGAGGGAATCGTTCATCACATTATTTGTAATTAACACGGTTAGAGCTTCTCTGGTTATCCTATTAACTGGTGTACAATACGCAGTCTGTGCTGCCATTTCGTATGCGAATAAAGACCTATGAATGCAGCGAGGTGCAGCGACTAACTGCAGCTAACCGTGCTGTGCCGAGATATTGCGTCCACCCATTTGGGTTATATTATTGGCGGGTAGACTTTATTCCACTGAAGCTAATGGAGGGTTTGCCATGTGCAGCGGACAAAGTGAAACTTGGTTAGGTTGCTCATGTATGAATACAAAGTTACAAAGACAAAATCTTTTATGTCATTCTTAACAATATTTCAATTTTTAAGAATAAAATAGTCACTTCGTGCTCTGATTTTAATAGTAAATGAATAAAAAGAAAAATATATCATTCAATTGTTTATTAAAAAATACTACATACAAAAATACTTTTATAAATTTAAAAATATATACATAAGCCTTTTGTCTTATTTAAAGTTAAATAAGAAGACTTTTTTTGTTATGACTATGTCACATAAAAATATCAAATCCATTAATTATAATACCATCGTCTTGTATAAAATATGTCACTCAATATTATATTCGTAAATTTAAAATTTACATTCACACATTTCTTTTATTTTATTTAAAACTAGGTGCGAAGAAAAATCATACTTTTTTTTATTTTCATTTTCACGTCATATAAAAATAGCAGCGGCACAATTTATAAAATTATTGTATTATAATAAATTATGTCAATAACAATCGTCAAGTCATAAAATGTCAAGAGCTTTATAAATTTGCTTTCAAATTCAAGTTGCCATTAAAATTATATTCAAGTTGGCGTTAATATATGTACCTATACTTACATCTTAATAATAGTACATACTTCCTACTTGAATTAAACCAGACACTTTTATATATGATCTATTCTTATCCTTGTTACGTTTGGAGGCTTTATTTGTCAAAATATTTCTATTGACACTCTCTACAGACTTGGATTTAACATGGTTCATGTTTAAAGCCTTTGCAAAATCTTCGAAAGTGAGCGGTATATTTGTAAAGGACATGCATCTTTCTTCGAGGCCACTTTTATTTTGGAACAACTTGAAGAATTCGGCGCAAGATGCACTCGTGTTTGTATCGCACTTGTCAGTTGAATCTACTTTATTTGAAAACGGAATGTGAGTTGGATTAACCAAATTTTTTAGGGTGATAGTCGGACTAGTATACAGCTTTTGGGTGTTAGTTGGAATAACAAATAGCTTTCGAGTATAATTTGAATTGACGAATTGCTGTAGGGTGTTAGTTGGACTAACGAATCGGTTTTCGCTGAGAGGCGGGCTAACGAATGGCTTTTGGGTGTTAGTTGGATTAACACCCAAAATCATTTTGAGCTGCTGACTTTCCAAAGGTTTCTCGTCAGACATCGTCTCAATTCCGGAGTCAGAAGAGCAATCCAAGAAGCTGAAACTTGTGGGGATGTTCTCTACGAGTTCCAATTCTGCCTCCACCTGCTTCTTCTTGATGTATGAAGCCATGCTGCACATGGTCCCCTTGATATTGCACCTTTTCTCGTGTTGACGGTATTCTTCGAGGAATTTTCTGAGCGTGATAGATTTTGATCGGCAGTACTGCCTCACCATTTTGCTCACCTCGAAGATTTCGCGACGCGAGCCGCCGGTCTGCTTGTAGTCGTGGAAACCCTCGAGCTTAAAGACACATCTTTCGTTTGTAATAGATTCGACTTTAGATATGTAGTAGGGATCGGGTGGATGTTCTGTGTATAATTCAGGGAAGTATTTCCGCAAGCAAGATGTTGTACGCGGTCTGTTGATGAACATCTCGAGCTCTCTGCTGCGGCTCGCAAAACGCTGTTCTGGTGGTAGTGTGGCCTCCTGTAGATAATACAAGCGTACAATATATCTTTATTCTTTTATTCCTCCTCAATACTCATGGTATCTTCTATTATTTTTTTATTTTAGGTATGTTGAATATGTTTGTACATTATTATTATAAAGAAAAAATATTTGATATATAAATTCTTACAATAATTTCATAATAACATGTGTAACTATCAGTTTTTTGCCTACTTAGATCATCTTAGATATCCTACAAGGCGATCGCGAGCGAAATAATCCGAAACAGACTATGTTTATGATCACCCATCTCGTTTGTTTACCACTGCTATGGTACCTTAACTTTACATATTGTCCTTTTGAATATTCATAACGATAACCTATCTAAAAATAAGCCAATTGTTAGTATTGCGTAACTCACCAGAGCTTCAAGGCGGTGATAATAGTTGCAGACATCCCGGAACTTGTTTTTTTGACCACAATATAACCACACTATGAAGGCTCTGCGCACGGTCGCGTTGGAGTATGCAGGTGCTGGCTTCTCCAGCAGGCTGTGTGTCCCGTCTTCTATCCAGTCCAGGTTATTGTTCTCAGACTCCATTATGCTGGAACAAATATAGATACTCACATATTAACATTATAATAAAAAAAATCTAAGATACCAAGTTAAACTGGTACAAATTTATGAGCAAAGGGCTACATAACTATGTATGGATACACATTTCCGATATAATATATTTGTTTATGAAATTAAATTTTAACTGTGTATAAGTATTTCTATACTTTTTATGATAATCTTTACTAATTCTATTCTAATGTTTATAAATTCTTTTACCTACGGGAATCTACTTCACACGCGGGTAACATAGGCTATAATTTACGTAGACGAAGTTGCGGGTAAGGAACTAGTATTGTATAAATGTCTATAAAATATCGATGTTTTGATTCAATAACTATACTTACTTTTAAAGCTTTAAACAATAATATAGCATTATATAGTTTACCTTAGAGTTGCCCAATACAAATTCAGAAACAGGTTTAAATATTTAAAGTACTTTTGAATCGTTCAGCGAAAGAAAATCATCACTTTTAATAGAAATAACGACATTTACAAAAACCACTACCAGATCAATATAAACAATATAAATTTGTGGAGTTACTTTCCATTACAATATTTAACATAAAAAATAAAAATAAAAAAATATGATCTTACAATGATAACCTAATAAGTAGCCTTACAATTTTAAAACATGGATATAGAAGAAATCACCTATCAAAATGGCTAAAGCACCCGAGTACTATAAAATCAGGGCCGAATAATGATTTCACCGAATATTATTTGGTTTGACTATAGCCAAACTGGATATTCGGCCGAATAATTCGGTTTGCCATTTCATTATTTTTATTAACACAGAGTGTTTCTGTTACTGAGCTCTTTCTAATATAGCGAGTAATGTTTTCGCAGACAGGGAACCTATATGAAGAATAAAATTTTAAATAATACCTAACGCAAAAGCGAGTTATTCAAGGTTTACCGTATAGGTTATTAATTATAGGCGCCCGATTTCGATAGCAGTTTCTTAAATAAGTCGTTTTTGAGATAAGTATTATTTATCTCTTACTTATAGTTTCAAGTCGGTTCTATTTTTTGAAAGAAAAATTATTTCATGCTCTTTAGTGATATGGTGACTAGTATATACTCTGGTATAATATGAATGGAGATTTACTTTGCTTGACATAGTTGAATATACAAAATCCTCTCTTTGCATTTTAAATGAGTACAAGATACGCAATTATTTATTTTTTGCTGATATAAACATAACATCAAAATATTTAGGTGACATCGGATAAAAAAAATATTTTGTTTTGTTATAAAAGGAAAATTACAGTCGATTGATTTCAATAAAATTTAAATAAGATCACCTTATTTAAGCTGTCGAATAAAAAGGTTTTTAAAAATCGTTCAACAATTCGGGACACGTCGGTGAATATACATAAAAAAATATATTTTGAAGTCGTTTTGAAACCTAACAGACTTTTGCTGGAGAGCCGAGAGCTTGGTTTTCTGCACCATTATTTTCTGTTAATTATTCTGTTAATTTATTTATTTTTGCTTATCTTTTATTTTGTTACTAATCTCTATTATATTTTTATAAAATATATATTTATAATTTGAATCTACATTGTTTAATTGTATTAAACACATTCTTCATAGGATTTCTTGGCTTAATATGTAACATAAATTTTCCATAAGAAGTGTTGTCTTTTATTTCTATACCGTGTCGTGTAGCCAAGAAAATAGAAATACTCGAGCCTAATATATTTGGCACCAATACTGAATAATTCGACCGAATACATATAACGAAAAAGATGCTAAATACGTCGAATACCGAATACAAAACGAATAAATGGCACAAGTCTAATAATCAAATACCTATAAGGTAATAGCTTTCTTAACAAGTATTTTTAATTCTGTATTTAAACTGATTGAAATCTAATGTTGTATGTTGCTTGGGTCTTTCTTATAAAAGCAAATTGATTATCAAACAATGAAAATCCCTAATGATGTGGTCCTATTAGTCTACTCGGTACTGTGGTCGACATAAATGCTTTGCAAGTTAAGAATAATGCACACTACAAATGAACGGTCACATTTCATAACCATTTCGACAAGACGTTTTACTGACTTATTCGTATCATTTTTCGATTTATGTAAAGCTTCTTCAGTTATCTATAACAAACTTTCTTATTTGTCTAGTATTATTTCTGTACTCTCTGTCTATCTCCTTACCATACACTTATAAATGCTTACAGGATTTAGTTAAATCTTTTTATGTATTCAATTTCTGTATAAAAATAAATTGCATGTAAAATAAAGATAGAAGCTAACAAATATTTGAACATTTATTTTTATCAGTAAGTACCTGCGTAATAATCTAAGTAAGAGTTTAATTGTATCCGGACGTCAATCTATGTAACTACAAAAAACGTTTTTTTAATGCATTACAACTATCAAGAATTTTTAATAAAAGTAGGCTTTATTTTAGTATGACGCAGGCTTTACTCAAAAGAAAAATGTTTATTAAATGTTATTTCCATTACATAAAAATAGAACAAAAGACTATTTTAGACTCAACAACAATTAGAATCTATATGGTAGTCACGTACGCATTAAAAACAAATGATATCGTTAAAAAGACTTACCTTTTATATCCTCCCACAATTATTCATGAATCGTTTTCAATAAAACACTATTTATAAACAAAGAACAGTTAATTTTGTTTCTATTTAATTGGAAGACTTAAATAGGCCGCTCTGTTGTCGAGCGCTGTCCAGTGTCCAATACAAGAATAACGACAGAACAACTTTTGAATTCATTATTATACTACCCTCATTAAGAGTCATTATGTTAATTGTAACTAGTTTATTGGTTTACGAATTATAATGTCATTAACGTAACGCGTTGCGGTTATTAAATGTCTAAGCAAATAATATGTTACTCTTTACAATTTTGCGAAAGATCATCATATTATTTATATTTATTTATTGTAAGAACCTCTACGAAAGAATGGTTTCGACATATTTTTTATAATGTCGCCATTTCACTAGATCCTGGACACAATTCCTACCGAGCCAATGAATAAGAAGTAGGTTTTCCTGTATGCATTCGTTGTTGTGCGATATTTATTTTATAAGACACACAGAAAAATAAAACGAAGGGTTCTGTACCATTATCCATAAAAAAATACGTTTGTTATTTTCTATAGAGTTATTCGAAATTTTGGAGTTAAATACAATTGGTCGACTATAACTCGTTAACTTGTAAAGCCAACTTAAGTATGATAATTTTCCTTTTAAATTCGTTATATGCAGGCGCTACTGCCGTAACGTTTAAGTTATTACCAACGACCGTTTAGTTGGTGGAGGGGGTAGAGGGGGGGTTTCTTGTCTCTAACGAAAATAAGCTCTTTAAAGTGGTTCACTTAATCGAAAATTGGCCTCCCCACACCCCAAATCTTTTCGAGAGACCTGTCTAACGATGCTCCACACTATGGGTAAGACGGTAAAAAAAATGTTATCCACATTTTACATGTAGGGGGTAAATATAAAGTGTGGATGATAATTTTACTCAAAAAATATTTTTTCGAAATTTAACTTTAACACTTTGTCGCAGTAATTAATTTGCAGTAAAATACAATTTTCTCGTACCAATAGTTTTTGAGCTAAAAGTTATATTTAACTAAACAATTAAACTTTATTAGATGGATATATATATAAAAAAAACTGGAAACTATCTTAAAATTTTAAACAAATATGCACAATTAAATCGTTGTCGCCTAGAATCCTAGTTTTTCTCCCTAAAATATCGATTTACTTTCATGAAACATATAATATTATACATACCATATCCCATCAATTTTTAATATATTTTTTAAATGTTTTATCAGTAGATACAGTACAACTTTTAAATTGTTTGTACGTCACTAGTCACATGCGCACGCGTCAATTGAATCTGCAATTAATTTGTTTCTGTATTTATATAAATAACACAGAACACGTCATCAAACAAGGTATATTCAATAAATCAATTATTAATTTGTCATTAAAAATCTATTATTTCGTGATCATTTCAAATCAGAAAGTTACTTTAATAAATTAAATTTTCTGTGTAATTTGAATGTGGGTTGGAATTTTATACGGAAATTAGTGAAAAGAAAACTATGACTTAAGAGTTTAATTGCTCAATGATATTTAAGTTGTATATGACTCCGTCAATCGACTCGAGAAAGGGTTACTTGGATGGATGCACCCGTGCTTGTATGATACATAAGTCTCGTATGATACGGCATATCAAACTAAATTTCTATCTAATAACCTTTCATCCTTCAAACAGGTTGTTCTTCGATACATATTTTCTTATTTATAAAGATAAAACTTTTTTCATTAAAAAACATGTGAATTCAATATTAATTGGATTGAATAGGAATAAGTATAAAAAAGAAATTCTATTTAGTCCGTCGGTCAGATAATAGAAAAATATTAGATACGTATTTTTTAACTTCAATTTATTTACTATAATTTAGGCATTAAAGTTGAGAAGTGGGGGCTCACTACGTCACTGTTTTGTAGAAAATATACAAAAGCGTAACGTCATGAGACAATTTAAATCAATTTATCGCCGTTATTTAATTACTACACAAAATTTAAAACAATCTACGGATGACGGAAAAACAAACAATAATGAGATGTCATTCCTATTGAAATACTTAATTAAGGAAATTTAAAGCTATGCTCTTCTTTTAATAATACTCGTACATAATTTATGATACACACTGGACGTTTATTAAAATGTATGTATTTGTCTAGTTTATTACATTCAGTGTCGTTCTTATCTTGTTATTATGAATTGTAAGATATTTAGTAATCAGTGAACATCCAAGAATTCAATTCTGTGTTTTGTGTAAAACTGGTTATGTGGAACCGGTTCTTAATGGCGACAGCAATTAACTTTTTTGATTATCTATATTGATACAGACCAATACCTACACAGTTCTTGTTAATAGATCGATCAAAATGTAATTTTATATATTTCTTATGACT